TTCCTCTCTGCCAGAAGGTGAACAATGTGAATCATCTTTCGTATAGACTACTACAACCTTTACCTATATCTGAGGGTCGTTGACAATTCATCGGTATGGATTTTGTCGGTCATCATCGCCCTTCCACCGAGCGCGTTCATGATGTTGTTTTGGTCGTCGTCGATCAATTCACGAAGCGTGCACATTTTCCCTCGTGCCGCTATTGCATTAAATTTTGTGAGGTTGTCGATATCGTCTTCGGCTGAGTCCTGAGAGATTGCGTTTACCTTTGCTTTTTAGAGTTATTATAGTTGGACGTTGGAGTTCGTGGCAACCGTCAAAGTCAAACCCCTTGATTTCTCTCAAGGTCCTGGATAATGGAGCTTGCCTCCAAAACCACAAGAGATGACTGCCACAACAGGCCAGAACCTGTGTACCACCCACTCTCCGCAGGCTGCAGAAGAGAGTGTGGTGATCAACCACCTTTGCAGTTGTCTAGCGTCGAGAGATTGAGCCCTCAAGGTGCGTGTCAGCCGACACTTGAGTGTCGAACGTGACCCTCAAGACTATTGAGGACCGCGTGATTATGGGTACTACATAGCACTCCATCGTTGCGATTGCTTGCGTATACTTGCATTGCTAGTTGATATGAGTAAGTCATGCGCCCGCGTGATTTTATCTTGAATCTCACGCGCGACGCCTTACCAATTTCCATATCAAAAGGTTATAGGTCTGACACGAAAGGGACTAGGAGTTTTGTTTTGTGTAAGTGATTTAATTTATTTTGTTTTAGCGTGGTGTAACGCGTGATAAGAAGAATGTGTCCTAGTCGACCGACGACGAGTCGTGCTTTGGACTTCAACCCTCGATGCGTCGGTTCGTGTGCGGGTCCGATAGAGGAGTGGGACTGCACGTACCCCCTATGCTACAACCTACGAGAAACGCCCTCGACCGGCCCACCTCTATGATTGCAACTGATTAACTTTCGTATTGTGAACTGGTAGCTTGGCGAGGATACGCTCACCGAAGGGAGGTAACAGTTCCCGCATGGTTGGCGCACTCGGCCGGAGTGGCTACGGAAGCTCCATTTGTACCGTGATAAAAGGATGAAAAGTCCAAGCCACAAATCCTGCGTGACACGGCCGTGAGGGTCCCCCTGCGGGACCGATGCGCTCGACAACGCAGACCCAAATCCTTGTCCAACGGACTGGCCTAAAAGTGGCCTGCCCGGGTCCTTACCAGACGTCCAGGCGGCCCTGCTGGCGTAGCAGGGCAAGTCCAAAAAGTGCTGGGCGAAGCACTACAGACAGATGCCTGTTTGAGTCCATGTGCGGACAAAAATATCTTGGGCCTTAAATGGCCAAAATGTGGACTTCCTAGTGTCCAGCTGGTCCAAACAAGCACCCGTGCCGGTTCGGACAAGATTCAAAGCTGGAAATGTCACTACCTGTAGCAGACCAAAGTCAGCAAAGCAGAATGAGACAAAATAAAAACAACACCGAGACGTAAAAGAAATACCTTGGGGTGTGTGGCCTAGGGGGCCTAATGACCAATGGTCGGTCCCCTAGGCCCCCCTATTGGAGGGCCATGCATGCTACATTTCCCCCTGGAAGGAAATTGTAAGGTTGAACTTGGGTGGTTTGGGGAAGAGTAAGGGGAAGGGATATGTCTCAGCTGAACATATGCAGTGGCATGAAGCAAGGATAAGGAGATAACCGTTTTTTCCAAACATATGTTTATTCAGCACTGCCATGAAGGAACTTCAGGGTCAAGGACATGTCATGCTGAGTAATTGACAAACATAGGCTGTGGAGGTCCCATATTTGATGCTTGGGATAGCTGGTTCAGATACAGGTTATTTCAGCCAATAGCATACAGTAATCCATTGGCAAGTTCTACTAGAGCACTGGGCCTGCTTTCCAGGATGTGATGGTCCCGACGAATATAATGGCAAGAAATAGAAAAAAGAGAGAAGAACTCTCCACCAGCCTGTAACAAAGGGAGAACACTCACACGAATATAATGGCAAGAAATAGAAAAAAGAGAGAAGAACTCTCCACCAGCCTGTAACAAAGGGAGAATACTCACACGGGGACCTAAAGTCACAAATATCTTGGGCGTTTGGTACCATGTATTTGTGCCTTTGGGTGGCCGTGCCGTCACACATGAGTTCTGTGTCCACAAAGCACAGAGTTACGGCCCTGACATTTGTGCCTCACAGAACTGCATGTCGTCACACTGGTTACACCCAAAAATATATAGAGTTTTATGATGCTTTTATCTTCTTCTTTTTCAAATGCTGAAATAACACGCATGGGTGTTTTGATCATGACATTGTGCGAATTTCTTGAAATACCTCACAGAGAAAGCAAAAAACGAAAAGGTAATTTGAGACCACCTCTGGAGGTGGTCTCAAAAAGTGTCCTCCCGCGGCCCCGCAGGCTGCTGACAAAACAGTCACCAAAAACTACATTTGGGTAGTGGGCCTCTCCAGAGTGACCTGAAAACTGCCTCAAATTCTGGGATGTAAGGTCATCAGTCCCCGTGTGAGACCACCTCTGAGAGACCTCCATTGGAGCTCTCAGAGGGCCTCCCTCCACTACTCTTCAAATGTGCAAAATAAGAATGAATCTTCAGCCAGAACATGGAAAGGCCACCATAATTCTTGTCTTTTGTACATGTGGTGAGTAATGGAGCGAGGCCCAAAGTCCTTCACGTCTGGAAAGTAGACATCCATTTCGGACAGGACTGTCATATTTATCATCGTCATCTTCTGCTGGCTTATCACTCAGAGGAAGCCGAGCTGGGACCCGGATTTCACTGTTTTTGAGAGCCTGACAGCTCTTGGAGGACTCTAAAAAATCGTCTAGGGTCAAGAGTAGTTGAATGGGACCCTTAGGGCATCGCCACACCTCAGAGGAAGTACCGGTGCATATTACCACAGAGTGTGGCAAGATGCATCCGTTACGACAAATAGAAACGGATGCATCTTGCCACCTTCTGCGGAAGATGCACTCATACTTTTTTTCATTTTGACACTCGTGCGGCGAGCCCCTTACTCGGAGCAGCGCAGACGTGGTGGGAAAAAAAAAAAAAAAAAAAAAAAAAAAAAAAAAAAAAAAAAAAAAAAAAAAAAAACTGGCAATATGGGATATGTCACTACGGGAGGTTATAAGAGCATCCTCCAGTAGAGAGTTCCCCCTTTTGAGATGGCGTTTGGTGGCAATTGTCACCTCTTTTTTTTGGGGATGCGGCCAAAACAACTACCTTTTTTTTTCTTTTCTTTTTTTAAACAACCCGAACTAATGCTAGGGGTGCTGATTAAAGCAGACACCACTAGCACTGTCAGCGAGGCTCCATCCATTAGTGGGGAGCAACACCTGCTGGAAAGCTGGTCCAGCGTCCCTAAACATTTGTAATCAT